AGCCAGGTCACTCTCTTGTGTGCCATTGGCTACAGAAACAGGTGTACCAAATCCACACAAGCCAAATGGATTGTTAAGGGTTGGGGAAGTACTTTTATTTGATTCATCTGTCAGATTGGTACCTATGGATATTTCCTCTCAAAATGTTTCTACTAAATCTGGCTGTGACTCTGGTGAAGGGACAGTCCTGCTGCTTGACTTTGATTACCTCTTCCTTTGTGTGAAGGGAGGCTACAGTTTCAAACACAGCCTCCCACCGGTTTGATATGGGTCTTAGCCAGGTTATTGCTGTCAAGTTTGCTCGACTTAAACCACAGCCTGAGCTTGAAAGGCCACAGAGCTGGGCATGTGACAGAAACAGCAGCAAGTATTGGATTGGATTTCCCTTTCAAGTATATTTAGAAATAATTTTTCCTGGAGCAGTCCATAATTATTAACTTCTATCTATGTACAGCATATACATGCAGTATCTTGAGATGTATACATGAGCTACTATGTCATGTATTTGTTCACGTAACACCTTTATGAGGTAAGGTAGTATTATTATCTGAGACACTAACTTATCCCCAAGAAGTCTATGACAGAAGCGGGAACTGAACCCAGATCCCTCAAGTGAGCAAGTGCCCTAACCACTGGGCCGTTGTAACCAAACCTGTTCAACAATCTTTGTTCATAAGTTTACATGTGCAGAACCTAGAGGTATCAGTGTAATGCATCCTTTTGTGCAGGAATAATAGCCTCTCTTTTGTGACTGAGCTGCTGACGGAGATGAAGCAATATCTGTTACCATTCACTGAGGAATGGGACTGAAAAAAAGATGTAAAACAGTACGTTAACAGAGATGTGCACAGAGAAGATTGGCGACACCAGATACCTTTTCAAACCATTTGCCGATCCCATTTCAAAGCAGGTGAAACAGAATAAAGAGTGAGAAAAAGTTAATGCCTGCTGGCCCCATTTGCTATTGTTTGAGCTGCATTAATGCCTACCAGCCCCAAGACATTGTATAGTAACAGAGAGTGCCTGCCCCAAAGAATTTACAATAAACGGACAAGATAATGGGTCTGAGGCAAGAAGTACTATCTCACATTATAATTTCACTAACAATTGGAGGAAGTAATAAGCAGCAAGTTATGAGATGACATTATGAGTCAAATACTGCCCTGTGTTGGCCTGTATGGGAAGAGGGTAAGGAGGGGATCAGGGGGTTTGTGGGCACCCACTTGTTAGCTGGCCAGGATTATGGCCCAATCCTTCAGCTCTAGATAGGGGGACTGGCCAAGTTGTTAAACACTGCAGACTGGACCTCCTGGGATTTTGGGCTATGTTTCAGGATCGTTAGAGGCCATGGATCTTCATGAGTTGATGTGAGACACTGAAATCACTGGAAGATATCTTGGGTGAATACAATTCAGTATGAATCTACGCAAGTGGAGACAGTCACATATGAGAGTGGGATGGAACGCTTCATATTACTTCAAAGGGAGCCGTACAGTATTGGGGGATATTCCAAAGGCACTGGAACACAATACACATTTTATTCATTCCAGCAGTATAGCTCCTTGGTTGCCTAACAAATTGTTCTGACCCCGCTGCTGCTTTCCCTCAAACACAAATCTTGCTGAATTCCACCCATCTCCCCTTGTACCTAGCAAATTTGCATTTTACCTGTTCTGCTGATCCTCTTCTGCTGAAACTCTATCCACCTGATCTCTCTCATTGCCCTCTTGCTGCTACATTATGCATCTTCTGTTTAGCTGATTAGCAAGCGCGGCTCCACACAGCAGCTCAAATCTTCAGCTGTTTCTTGCATTTGCGCACAACACAGAACCTGGCTTTTCCTCAGTTGGAATCAACAGATCCAGAGTCTGGACCTGACTTTTGTTCTGAATTTTGCAGGCTACCTAGTGGGTCTGAGCTGAATAACTCAGCAATTTGTTTTTGGATCTGAATCACTAGTCTCCAAGTTCAGGAGAGTTAGGGCTATGGCTTCTGACCTATTATGGAGGAAGGGAGCCAGATTTTTCTCTGCAAGGTGACTCCACAAGCTTCATTGCCACCCCTCTGCTTATATAACTCAGGGAAGAGTTTGGCCCAAGAAGTTTGGACCTGATTTTTGACTGCTAGGTGTTGGTTCAGGCCAATCACTAGTTAGGAGGTGAGAGGTAGAAAGAGAAGCTGGAAATTTGGGATGCTTGAAAATAAACACTTACACTTCATATTTAGGAACTTAAAGAAGAGGCTTGATTTTTAAGAAGTGCTAAGGATCTGCAGATCCCATTGAGAGGTAATTTAGGCACCCAAATCTGAATATTTTAGAATTGCTATTTAATCCTTACCTCACCCCAGCTTCTTTATGCCCATATGGAAACTTGCTATACTTATCCCAAAACTGCATCATCCACATACTGGTATCTACCTGAACTTTCCTGGATTGGATGTACAATATGACCTCTAAATGATAAAAGATCCCTGGGAACATCAGACACCTGAGTAATTATTTATGAATCTGTCTAAGGTCTCTGATTACAACAGGACTATCAAAGCAGCAAGTATTAGGAACACTGCTGTACTCTTTCTGGATTCAATGAGTTTAAACGTCATTGCCAACGTCAAATATAGAAGTACATGGTTGACTTCAAATTAGGGAGCTAGTTCAGAGCCTGTTGAAAGTCTATTGAAAAACTGACAAAATATTACCACATTCACTCAAATCCAAGACAACGTTGAATTTAAGACCACCCCCCAGTAATTAGATTCTACACATGGAAAAATTATCCATTGGTTACAGTTTTCTATGTATAGAATCTAATTATTGGAGGGTCTTCTTAAATTTGCCCCTCCCCTTTGCTGTGGCAGAGAAAGCAGCGGTGGAGGTGAGGCAGGCAGCCAGACCCCCACCCCTTGCCCTTATTGCCTGCCGTCCTGTGCCTGTTCCTGCCTCCCTCCATCTGTCCACTCTGCCACCTGCCCCCACACCACTTACCTTCTGCTCTGGCCCTGGCCCCAGCCTTGGCCTTGCCTACAGGCCCACCTGGCCACGTAGAAGCAGCAGCAGCAGCTCCAGGCTGGGCAGGTCAGGTCAGGTCAGGAGCAGGTCTGGAGTCAGAGCCAAAGGTGAAGGTGAAGCACTGTAGCTGTGTGGGGCGGATAGGAGGGTGGGGGGTGGAGAGTGCCTAGGCTGTGCAGTCTCCTCTGTTCTCCCCCAAGCCACACACCCAGGTCTACCCTCTACTCTCTGTGCCTCCCCTCACTGCATGGTCTCCCCGGTCCTCCCCTTCACTGTGCAGTCTCCCTTGCACTCCCCTTGGTGTGTGCCCCCATCTCTGCAGGAAAAAACCAACCTGGCATAGTGCAGGTGGTGGTGGCTTGGCCCCGACTTCGGCCCTGGGCCTGGAGTTGGGGTGGCAGCAGCTGTCTGCTGCAACCGCTATTGAATCCAAGATGAGGCTCTCCCCCATCTTGACTGGGGGAGGGCACTCATCTTGGATTTGAATAAATACAGTAACTCTGTTAAATAATCATAGGATTATTTAACAGATTATTTAACCTTCTGGGTCTGGTGTGCTATACTCTCCTCCATCTGTCCAAGGAGTCCTCCATACCTGAGCTCATCCCAGCCTCAGATACTAAGGCTCAGTGCTGTGACCTTGATATAAATAGGAAGAGAGAGAAAGGGGGGTCAAGATCCTCAAAGTTTTCCATTTCAGTGACTAGATTTCTAGATATCTATTGAGATATCTGGGTCAGACAGGTTTCGTTCAACTTGCTTCAGAATTTAGTACATTGTGATAAAAAGTTGCACCCCACACAAACAAAATGCTCTAAGCTCATCTCTGAATCAGCCACTCATGTTCCTTGTCTCCCCAGCCTTTCCTCCCTACTTGTTCTTTATTATTCTCTGCTCTCTTACCTCTAATCTGCATCCTCTGTTTAACACAAATCCTGCACTGTGGATGCTTCCACCCGCTAGGTAGGAAGGTGCCGCCAGGAGTTTGTGGGGAGCACACCCATTTCTCTGTAGTACAGTAAATCTCCCCTGTGCCAGCCAGCCCCACCTCATGAGCAATGCAGAAGCAGGATAGGATCCTCCACCCATCTTCTCCCACCCACTCCATTGTGCTGTTCTTGTCCAGGGGGTCTGGCTCCCTGCCTCTCTGCATGCACTCCTGGGGGGAGGGCAGACCTGTGCCCCCCCCGATCTGTGCCTGGGGCAGGTGTGGGCTGTCTGTTGTGGGCTCGGGCTCCCTGCCCTGCTGCCCTCCCTTGTGGGCTAGCTGGTGTGACCCAGCACTGCAGGGCACAGTGGAGTCACGTGGGGAAGCTCATTGCTGCTGTGACTCCATGCTGCCCTGGCAAGCCATCCCCTACACATGAGGGCTGGGGGGACTGTGGGGGGAGTGAGGGGCACACGCAGGGCCAGGGGGCTGTGGTGTTGGGGGGGGAGCGAGGGGCACGAGCAGGGCCAGGGGGCTGGGCGGGTGGGAGTGAAGTGCCTTTTACCTTAATAATGGATTTTGGGGGTTTTATCAGAGAATTTGCATTTTTTTATCAGGGAAAACCAGGATCCCTGCTTATGACATAGGACGGGGTGGCCAACCTGTGGTACACATGCGACAAGTGGCATGGGCAGCATCTGCAGGCAGCAGACCAGGGAGGTGACAGGCAGCTCAACAGCAGGCAGGGTCTGCCTATTTGCAGAAAGCTGAGCAGCAAATTGGGCAGAGAGCACAGGGCAGGAAGCAGAAAGCAGAGCAGCTGATTGGCCAGAGGAAGGGGATTGGAGTGGTACTCAGGGAAGAAGTGGGGCTAATTTGTGCTACAGCTGCCAGAAAGGTTGACTCCTGCTGACATAGGACATAAAGCAGAGGGAGATAAGGAATGGTCTTCAGAACTCTATAGAGATATCAAGGGGACTGACGGCAAGATGGCTGAAGCCCCTTCTCATATTGCAAATAGAAAGAGGCCAAATTAGGTTTAGTTTTATAAAAGTTCTTTATTGCTTGAGGACATTTGTTGTGATAGGCTTAACGTAAACCTCATGTCAAGCTAGCGCAATCATTACTTGGCCACATGTTCCTTAGCTGTAAAGAAAATAAACTGGATTGTTTTTTTTATTGCTAGTGCCCCATTTGTTTTGGACACTGCTTTTGAAGCTAGTTCAAAAGGCGGTTTCTTGTCTCTCTCTCTTTCTGGGAGCAGCACTAGTGTAGCAGTGCCACCAGCAGCTTTCTGAGGTCCCCAGAGGTATCTGATTGGATGGCCTGAGCTAAAGAGCTGTTGTACAGTTGCTTGAATTTCTCCTTTATTGTTGGAAGGTCAATCTGATGAGAGACAGAAATAATCTTTAGAGGAGTGGATCTCTTTTGCTTAATACACTAGCACTTCCAAGAAGAGCCTATAGTGCCTGATCTGAAGACCATTGCAATCAATGGAAAAACTCTCTTTGTTTTTAAATAGATATAGATCACAGCCCGGCTGGGGAGGAGGTGAGGCAGGGATGGGCAATTATTTTGGGCGGAGGGTCGCTTACTTAGTTTTGACAAGTCATCGAGGGCCGCGTGACAGGCAGTCAGGGGCAAATAAATATTAATTTGCTAAATTTTTAGGGGCCCCATGGGCTGGATAGAATGGCCTGGCGGGCCACATCCGGCCCGCGGGCTGCGTTTTGCCCACCCCTGAGGTAAGGTCTAAACCTCTGAGCACTTTTAGCTCCCACTTGCTATTTGGCCTTGTGGTATGTTTCCACACCACCAAGCAGAGAGCTGGCAGTGGTGTGTGCTAACTTGCATCCCCAAAGCAGTATAGTCATGTTAGCACATTTCCAATGAAATCTCCACAGAAATAGGGTGCGTCATGCTAACTGGGCTATGCTGCTTCCAGCACCATGCAGATGTACCCTTGCTACCAGGAGTAGAATTTTAAAAAGTCAATAATATCCCAGTAATAAACAGCTTTCTTTTTGCAAAGTGCAGAGCACCAGATGGTATGTACTACCCTATGAAAAAAGTGTCAGTGATATGGGCCCTGTTTGTACTACTGGGGCTCTCAAAAATTTCATGATTGGATCACATCTTCATAGAGAGATTGTCTTGGACTAACATCAACCCTCTTGCTTAGGTCACATGGATATCTCCTCCCTTCCCATTCCCAGCCAAGGAGACCACCACTTCTTCTATTCATGACCAAACATCTCTGTGGCAACAATAGCCATTGCTTACATAGATGAGACATGGAGGCAGAGTTTATAGATCTGAACTGCCTTGAGTATGTTTTGAGCTTTTTGAAGAGACTCAGCCATACTGTCTCCTTTGATTCCTAATCACCCCTCCTCCCCTGCCCTCATCCGTTCTGTGTCTGTCAACGGGGACAGACAACACCATATGACTCCTTGGCAATTCCCAGTTTGGGAATTGCTGCCTTGTTTTTAGTTAACAAGGATTTTATTTTTTGACTCATCTCCCAGAGGAGCAATGGTGGCCATTGCTCATGTGCTTTTTTATTAATTTCTTTTAAAAATGTAAACAGATTCAGTGTCAAAGCTCTACTCGGTGATATGGATGTAAAACCAGACTGTGACTGCTGAAGTCAATACAGCTGCATAGGATTTAAACTGCAAAACAGACTGACTGAGAGAGGAATGTGGCCCAGCTATTTCTATTTCTCTAAGTTTACAATTATCCACTGGAAGATTTGGGAGTTTTCAAATCCTAGAGTTTCTTACCTCAGCCCTAGTCACGAGGATGCGAATCAAAGTCTCCTCATCAGTTCCAGTTCCTTTCATTGACTCATGTAGACGTGTAGCAAAGTAGCCTTGGCAATCTTTGGCACATCTCACTAAAGAGGGAGAGCAGTAGGGAGTTTTAGCATTTCATGTTTCACATTCCTTATAGGAGGAAGAAAGTAACAGGTTTGTTAAGGAAACCTAGAAATCCTCCCTGTTTGTATCCACTTAGATCATGGATGTCAAATTCACCTGGGGCCTTGGGCCAGGTCAAGACCACGGGGCTCCTTGTGGGCCAGATCCAACCCAGGGCATGTGGGCTGCTGCAGTGGCGGCAATAGCTGTGTGGAGTCTGGTGGGAGTGCAGGGTGTGGTGGTGGCAGGGGCAGAGGAAGGGGAAGGGCCAGTGCCGGGTCGGGTGGAGGCAGCGGTGGGCAGTGCAGGGTCCAGTGGTAGCTGGGGGCAGCTCAGGGTCCATCAGGGGTGGGGTGGGGGCAGTTGCAGGTCTGGTGCTAGTGGGAGCATAGGGTCCAGTGGCAGTGGAGGTTGTAGGAGCATGGGGTCTGGTGGCATGGAGCCAAGCTTGCTGTCAATGGCCATGCCCACCAGGGCCAAGGATCCCAACTTTCAGTGCTCTCTGGTAGACCAGTGGCCCAGATATTTGGCCCAGGGAGCCTCTCTATGGCCCATGGGCCATGTTTAACACTCCTGCCTTAGAAAAGTACTTGGAGGGACTGTGAAGATGAAAGCTGTAAACAGACATCTCATTAAAAGCAGTCTTGATTATTCCAAGTTAAAACCTGAGGATAAGCATAGTCCTTTCCACATGAACCCTTTCAAGATGCATAGCTGCTCTGCGGGCAGGGGGAGCACAGGTTGACAGTCTTGTCCCTGGAATGACTGGCAGTTAACCTGAATGAGCTGCTTTTAACTTAGAGGTATACAGCTTTGTCCCAGAAAAAAGTGTTAGTATATTTTATCTTGCACACTTTACAGATACGTAAAGCTGGGCAATGGACTGGTAGGATCCTGGGAGAAAAGGCTTGCAAAAATGTAGTCTGTTTACACTGAAAGGTAATCTTCTGTATAGTGTCTGGGGAAGCACAGGAGCCTAAAAATGAATATATATATTACTCTACTCAGGTAATATGTTGTATGTGGATAAACCATAATGCTAAATAAATCAATGCCAACACAGAAGGGCTGAAAATGCTGATGGTCTGGAGTGAAAACGGAGCCCTGATTTTTATTCACTTGGCTCCTTTGGAATTATTCTTGTTGCCCACCAACTGCTGAGCCAGAGGGCATCTCATCACTTCTCTTTTTTCAGATCCAGGTCTGGAGAGCCCATGTAGGGCCTTAGTGGAGTTTCTTGCTCCCTTTACAACCATGCAGTCCAAGTCAAGTATTGAAAGCCAATTCCTGTGTCCCTCAGAGATTCCAATCTAGTGTTAACTAAACAGATACCACCATGTTTGTATATAGGACCAATGGTAAGGATAAATGAGGATGAAAAGTAGAGGAAAAAAATCTACTGATTTTTTTTTTCTGTCTTACCAAGTGTGAGATAGGCCTTCTCTAGATTTCCAGATGTTTCACTTTGAATGGCTTCTTCAATATCTTTCCCATGCAGCTAAAGAACCAATGAAACAAATTAATCAGGAGAGTTAATGGTTGTGCAGGGTTATCCCACTAGCAAAGAACCAGCACTGAATTTCTGGGCAGATGGCACTTCACATGCCAAAAATATGACTTAGGTCAGAATGGTCCTTTTCACGGCTTTCAGGATACAACTCTCCTTTAATTTTCACAGAAGGGCAAATGGCTCAAGCTTTCTCAGAGGATTGGATCCTTAGCTGGTATACATTTTCATAGCTCCACCACATCAGTGTGCTGATTTTTCACCAGATGGCACAGAATCTCTCATGTACGATGAAATAGTGCTGTTGTCCAATAAGTCTAGCAATGAATCATCCGATAGCTTTCTTCTTGGGGAGACTGACAGCCAAGAGAGATTGTTTGAACTTTCCCTAGCTTTAGCCAAGGATTTAGATGGTTCCCAGACTGTCCAGGTACATTTTGGGCTATGGTGCTTTATCAGGCACAAGAAGTTTTGTAACCTTTGCTCTTTGGGTCCACACAGTTTTGAGTTCTCCTTAGGTTTTGTATCATGCTGTAGGGAGGGCGCTGTCCAAAGGAAGGGGAAGAAGAGCCTAATACCTTAAAATATAAGCCATACTCACTTTTCTGAATTAAAGAAAATATTCTCTTTGCAAAAAAAGGAGATAAGTTCCCCAGGCTCTTCTTTGCTTGTTGGAATCTCAATATTCCCCTGCTCTGCACTATCTACAGATGCTGGAGATGGGCAAAACTTGGTAGTGTTTTTAGGTTTAAATTTTGCAAAAACGGGGGTTGATTTGGATATGGTCTTATTTATCTGAACTCCACCAATAGGCAGCTCAGGATTAGTGTTTGGACACATGGTTGTAGCCTTGGCCCACTGCTATTTCAAATACAGTTGGGCAGGATGTGGATGGGTTGGTTTGGGAAATCTGATCTGTCTGGCTTTTGTTAAAGCCCAAAGCCAGGGTATTTTGGATAGGAGGCTCAATTATCTGAACCCCTGGAGATGGAGCCATCATAGGGAAGGAGTGTCAAATAAATGGTTCGGGGTTTCTTTTTTCTCCATCCACAAACCAAAGTTTGGAGAATATTGTGAATATATTTCCAACTCCTTTTCTTACCAGTGTTTTTTTTCCATCTGCAGAGTCTGTGGTTCTAATTATGTGCTGAACATAGAATAAGTTTAGGGAATAAATACAAGTTCTCTGTCTTATTTATGTTCAGGCCTTCAAACACATTGACACTTCTAATTTTTTTTAGGAATTTAAATCAACAAGACCCTAAATACTCCAAATGATGGAGTACCTACTACTTCCCTAGGGGGACATTTCCCTTGTCTAATGCATCTAATTGATAGGGTGAAAGGCACTCAGTTGTGAATGCTTTGTAAAGATCAATGAATGTTGTCTAGACAAGCCTGAAATTCATTTGGGCCATATAAAACCAATGCTCCTTACAGAGGTCTGATGTTTTGGCTCTGCATTGCAGCAGCAAGAATAGAGCTGCTATGGTCTCAGTGGCAGCTAGCTATAGATGGGATTGACTTGCAAAGTTTAAATCAAAACATTCTCAATATTCAGGGCCATGTGCTGATGGGGGTTTCATTTGCATCCCTCCTCTAATATACATATATTCTGAGAGAAAATGTTTATATTGGTGCACTTTCTTCTACCTAGTCACCCGAAGCAAGCCATCTTACCGATTCCAAACAAGGCTTAAGGAAAAGAGGTCCATTTTCTTATACTGGAGAAGAGCAAGAGCCAGCAGGTGAGAGACCTCTTCTGAACTCTCTTTTATGGAGGCTGAAGGATCAGGATGAGAGGTAGGTTTCCACTTACCAAGGTTTTGCTTCAGATTAGGAGAGACAGAGGGAAAACCACCCCTTTGCTGGTGTCTCTCATGACATTGCTATGAGACTGGGGAAAGGTCACCCTCCTTTTCATTCCCAGAGTTGTGAGAAGGACAGAACAACCTTCAAACTTACTTTCCTAGAGCCTATGAGGCAGGTCACTAAAAGTCAATGGAGCAACATCTGTTACATCAGTTGAGGATGTGGCATATACGCATGTTACTAGATATTTGCAACCAGTGTTTAAAATGACAGATAAAGGCTTGTATGCTCCAAATGTAATTTGTTCCAGCAAGCTACTTCTTGGCTACAAACTCTATAATACATATCAAAGAACAAAAGAGCTTACCTTTTCATAGGCCTGAAAGGTAGCTCTCAGCTGCTTGACATTTCTCTTTGCTAAAATAACATTGAAAGCCAGTTCCTCTGTCCCCCAGCGGCCTTCCCCTGCCTGAAAGATTGAATGGTAGTACTAACATTTGGCAGTATTATTTAAAAATGTATCACTGAACACAACAACTCCAATTCGGTTGTCACCCTAACATTGCCTTGGTGTAATGCCTTAGTAACACCATGGAAAAAGGTGACCTCTGACAGTTGGGTATTTCTCCATTCTTGTACTTACTTCATATAGATTTTTAGCATCTTGCTCAGCGAGCTCTGCATTGATGTCCTGCTCTTCATCTCGGTCAGCCTGTAAAAAGTGAGAGTGTGTTACAAAGAGGAAATGCTGATCCCTGGTAACAGAATAGAGGGTTTTCATTTTTGCTGCTCACAGGCTGATTCATAGCAGTATTTCTGCTGCCATCTACTGACCATTGTACATACCACCTGAATCCCCTTCCATTTACCAGGCTTTCTAGTTCTATTGACTTCAGTGTTTAACATCAATGTAAACCCAGACAGAATCTAGCCCCATAGCTTTTGCTGTACTGGGGAGACATTAATTAGGACCAGTATCTTGTCTCCTACAAAACCAGTGTTAAACCTGTTGCCTCAGGAGCAGGTGTAAAGATCCTATAATTCACTTAGAGTTATGCAGTGTGTAACAGGGAACCAGAAGCTCCTGCTACTTTAAGAGAGAGACTGCAGCAGACATGTCCCCAGGCAGCTGAACATAGGCTAGCTGCAGAAGGGTCGGCAACTAGGGATACATAGGCTGCAAGCGCTTACTGCATGGCTTGCTGCCCAGCAATAAGACACTAGGGCGGAGCAAGGGAAGGCAGCAAAGGAGCACTGTAGCCTAGCTGCAGGAACAGCAGGAAGCTGTGCAGTAACCTGGGAGGATGCACCTGTGGCCCACTGGAGGAACACCTGACTGGGAAAGGAGGACCCCAGGGAATAGAAACACAGGTTCCTGAGGCAGACGGGCAATGCAGCCCCGAGCTCTGTGGGGAGCAGAGCTCCTGCCAGCTCAAGCTGGCAGAGAGCAGAAGCTGCAGCTTGGGTCAGGTACTCCCAGGGGCTAAGGGAGCCAGTTAGTGGGGAGATGGCTTTGGCAGTGTATGGTGACCCAGAAGCAGGGGCTTTGAGTGCTTGTGTTAGAAGTAGTTGTTTGCATTTCTGTTCTGTTTTTAAATTGGAGGATCAAGCTGTGGATGTAGGGGCAGATTGGAGGCCATGTACCAGGGTGCCTGGGACACTTGGGGTTTCAAGCCCTGTAAAGGGGTGAGAAAGAGCGTGAGCAAGACAGCATGCAGGCTAGAGCTGCAAGGGCCAGAGCCTGAGCCCTGCAAGTGAGAGGCAGGGGGAAGGCTAGAACCGAGAGGGCCAGAGCCTGTGCCCCGAGGAAGAAGCACAACAGAGAAGAGACTGAGACTCAGAAGCTGGGCTAGAGCAAGTGGGCCTGGGCTAGAAGTCTGTAGCTCAAGCAAGCAGAGGTTAGGGCCAAAAGGACCGAATCCTACATAGGCTGTGCTGGGATCAAGAGTAATAGCCAGGAGGCGTGTGTGTGGCTATGGGGGAAGCCGAGGTGATTTAATGCCTGAGGGCAAGTCTGATGTGGGACTCAAGCGGAGAAAGAAGCAGACTGAGGGTTACTTTGGGGCCTTGGGGCAGCCTCCCTAAAGGATGAGAATATCCATCAAGGTGTGGCAGGTGAGATGAACAAGGGAGGGTACTCTGAAGGTCCAAGGTGAGGTAGGGACAACTTGGTCACCAGGGGGCACCATGGCCATCCTCGGGGGCTAGAGCCTGCTACAAGTGCTATGTAGTGAAAGCCTCCCAAGTCATCCATCACTCTCTAGAACAGCATTGCTCAACCAGTGGGTCACAACCCAAAAGTGGATTAGAAGAATATATGAAAGGGTTGTGAAAAAACTTTAAAAATGGATCAACAAACATTAAAAATGGATTCTCTTTTAAAGGAAAAAGACATGGGAAACCGTGGCTTTTCATTTGCAGGCTGGCAGAGTTCCAGCCTGCAAGGGCTGCTTGAACCCCTCCTGCCCCACACACTGGGGGCCTAGGGCCTGGGGGCTGGGGCAGCAGGTTGGGAGTAAGGGGCACTGCACTAGGACATAAACCATCCTTGTGCTGGGTGTGAGACCTCCTAGGGACCCTGGAGGAATGTCTGTTACCACTGCTGGTTTAAAGAAAGATTTCCAGTACTTCTGGTAAAGTACTGCCACTGTGGAGTTGGCTGTCCCTCGGTGTCATTAATGTGCCCCTCTACTGTCCCTGGTTATTAGACGTGCATCAGCACTGTTCCCTAACACTTGCATTTTTAGTGTTACCTGAAGCCTGTACTACAATTCTTAGTAAAAATATCAACGCCAAATCTATGACTATTCTTCTGTTTGATCCGTTCCCCTTCCTGTGTACTGCACCTTTCCACATCTAAGTAGCTCTCACAGACACATTAATTCTTTTTTTTTTCTGTGTCATGACTCTAAAATAAATTATAAGCTCATTTAGGCTGGGACTTTTTTACAGTGTTTTAAACACCTGAAATTAGTTCAGCATTCTAGGCATTACAATAACCCAAATGATGATTAATAATGATAAATACAGTATCTTCAATGTATTAGGACTTGTAGATTAACTTTGTATTTTTCCAGTACCCATTTAGTTATGATACTAGATTATGTTTGAAGACCACAGGCTTTGATGTTTTGTGGATTTTAATGTAAGAAACCTATGTACAAACTACATGTTTACATTTTTATAATATATACACTGAAGAAAACATTGTTTTGGGGTTTGGCATGTAATAGAAATAGTGTAACCCATACCTGTAGCACAGAAACCAGTATCGTCCTTAGTGAGCCACTTGTGTCACTTTTAACATCAGACTCTAGGTCCTGCTCAAAGACTATTAAGAAAGAAGCCTGTAAGATTTCATGTATGGATAAAGGCTGATAGATTGTCTTTAAAGAGTATTTTAAACATAAATATCACTTACGCCTTTTGTAAGCCTTCTTTATCGCTTCAATTTGCTGGGATAAGCAAGCAAACAAACAAACAAAAAAGGTCAGTAATATGTCCATATTGCTTGGGGTTTAGGTGCTTCAATGACAAGATTAGAGCCCAGATAAAATAAGGATATTGAATAGGGATCCCATGGTGGGCCAGGCCCTCACTCTCTGATGCAGTTCTGATTTAGAAAATCCCCTAAGAGCATGTTTAAACCTAGCCTTATTCAGGATAGCACTTAAACACCTACTCAGCATTATCCATATGTATAAATCTTTTTGATTTCAGTGGGGTTTATACATATGCTGAATTGCTGTTCTAAGGAGGGTCGTGTTCCTGAACTGGACCTTTCAGCTGCTCCGAATGATGCCTAGGATTCTTATTGTTGCCTTAAGCAGGGGATCCCATCAGCATAAATGCTTCTGTGTATTTTAACGTAGGATGTCTCCATCAGGCAACTCACTCCCACTCTTT